ATAATGAATAAGTTAAATTGATAAAGTGGGGATGTAGTTTGCTAAGGTCCAGTGGCAAATACTTCATGCATAATCAGGAAGAGAACAAATACATGCCATAAATACAGAAGGTATAGGTTCTTCGAAGTGGCTTGAAAGAGTTGGTAATTTGGACTCACTGCAACATGCTAAGGCAACAACTTAACAACACAAATTTGTATTAGGCCAAAAATAAAATTTAAATTGTTTGATGTTCATCCCCTACCTAGCTACCCACCTAAAAAACAGCCTTTCCGAAAAATTTATTATGGCACAAATCAGTTTAAAATTTTTTTTTAAAGATTTTTTCCCTGTTCTAATGTTGTTTTCTTGTCTAAAACATGTAACTTATGTCGTTAGCCAAAGAAAAAAATCCCTACCTACCTACCCAACCCTAGAAGGCATGGGACGGCAACATCAAACAAAGAATTTTTTAAGGGTGGCCTTCCATATACAGCCATTCAATTCGTGTATTGGTAGAATTAAACTTTTTTAAAAATTATAACAAATTATATTGAACTATTGATTAACTCTGTTACAATTACAGCATAAAACTTTTTAATTGATCACTTGTTTGAAAATTGGTAATGAACAGATGAAAGGTACAAAAACCATTATCTGCAATTTATTTGCCAATTTTCTCATAAGTGGTCAATTGTTTTCAGATTTGTTACAAATTCAAAGCTCTTTAAATTTTGTTTTTCTCTCATATGGATATTTATTTAAATTTGTAGTTTCTTTTGAAATTCAAATTTTGCATTTTCAGCACTTGTAATTCAAAAAATCGGAAAAGAGGAAGTAGGTGTCTGCCTGATTCGAAAAGCAAAGGGAAGGATGAACAGATGGTAAGACACGGTGATTGGAATATAGCCCCACTCCTAGAGTGGAGAGCAAAAGAGAATACTGTGTATTCATCATTTTTCATGGGATACTAATTTTAGTGGAATATACTACTACTACTACTAAGTGTGTTTAACGACCTTGACTACCCATGAGGGTCTCGCATCGTGGGTAATATAGGGGTAAATGTGAACCAAAAATTTTAATGTTCAACGAAGTACATATTTTGTATTAATTTGTATGCAGACTTAATTGGCAAAATCACAAAATCAAATATGCACGAATCCACGAAAATTTATATCTACAAAAATGCTAAATCTAAACTTGTATGCAAAAAATCTTTATCATCACAGGTCAAACTACTTTAGCCACAGATATTTATTTCAAGCTACAAAACCACAAAACAAATCAGTGTGTGGTCAACCATGTGACCTTAGCCTCCACATTCAATTATTATGAAACCGAAGCCAGTCAATGACTTCTTACGTCAGTAACACATAACAACTTGAGCACCAGTAAAGGATTCATCCTACACCAATTTTCCAAGAACTCTGAGACAGGAAGCAATTTAATTGGACTTACTGCTATTGATTTACCTAATCTTGTGTGGGCAAATGTAGCCAGGAGGTTTATAGGTACTGTAGCTGGTCATGATTTACAACAATTATCAAAATATTTAAGGCAAAAATATTCCAAATATGTCTGCCTATTTACCATTGAAGGAGTGGATTGATTCTTGATTCTCACTTTTATCTTTTTGATTGAATAACAATTTTTTTCTAAATCCAGTAGTAAATGACTGGTTTTTAAAAGTCAAAGAATTAATTACATTAAGAACTTCACCTTTCTCAAACCAATACATATAAGCAAAATAAAGGCCACATCTTAGTTCTTTGGTGGATCTTTTTCCAAAGCCTTAATGTTTGGTAAACAAATATCATACCTATACCGAGACCGAGACCGTGCAAGATCCTCATGGGTAGACAAGGTCGTTAACCCCCCCCCCCCCCCCTGTCATCATAAGAATGTTAGGCTTCAAAGTCATCACATTCTGGAGATGTTGTTAAATACAATGAATTTTTTGCATACTTTTAATCTTTCGGAAAACCTTGCATGGCCAAACGTTACAAGCTAAAATGTTCTGTAACAAAAAGGTGCCAAGGTTTATATTTAATTCCTAGTTACCAAAAGTTTCTTGGTCAGGTGTTGTGGCCAAAGAAAATTATGCTAAATACTATTATGGATTATATGGAAAATTTTGACCAAAACAGCTTTACAGCACAAATAATGCTTAATTCAGAGGTCATTACTTTGTAACTTATAATGTAATATGCCAAAAAGAAGTTATTTTGTAGCAATAGTAATATCACAACTATTTCCATGTAGAATGATTATACCGGTAGTATTATAGCCTGATTAAAAACATTGAAATCTTATGGCCCATGTTAAACCTTTGAGAACCTACTCCTTAATATAACTCAGAAGATTCATTTCCTTATTTTCAAGGGTACCAATTTTTTTCTTTTTTTTTCTAATATTTGAATTTGTGTTTTTGGTCAAAGTCAGCATACACACCTATAGAAAACATTTTTCTTATTAAACATTTGTTAAACATCTACTTTAATTTGTAGTTTAAAAAATCTGAGAAATCAACAAAAATTGGTACCCCATAAATCGTAATAAATACTTTCGAATTCAATTTTTTTTTATTCAAAGTTGTATAAGAATATTTTTCTTGGCTCAATCTACACAAATCTTTCCATTAAACATACTGACTGACTCATCAAATCAGTTATATTGTTTTAATTTGGAGTAATTTCTAATCAACTTCATCAATACAAAATTACAAGTGATCTTCTATCTCCAGCTGCCCACCTACAACCTGATTGTACACCTGCGGTTCAGAAAGTCAATCTCAAGGTCATTCTGAAGGTCACTGTTTGTTGATTGACTGGCTGAGTCAACCTCTTTACTTACCAATACTATAGTGATAGTAAATCTATTTGTGTCACTGAATCATCAATTAGGTCGCAGCGATGAATCAGTGCCACTATAAACAGGTGATTATTGTGTTTATGATAAGAATTTTGTGGTATTATTTCGATTAATGTGGTTTAAGTGTCTTTCTAATTATATTTTAGTGATATTATTTCGGAATATGGTTTCACTCACAGTGTCTATCTAATTATTGGGAATTTGTATGTATACAACTTAGTAATTTGATTTATCAGAGACTCTCTGAGAGGTACTAAAAGGACATCCCGCTGTAGTACATTACAAAATACATGTAGGAGCGACTAAGAAAATATTTCATTTAAATTCAGTTTCGGATCCAGCCATTTTTAAATGGGGGGGGGTTCCAACCATATGTCCCCATTCAAAAGCACTGATTGTCAAAAAAAAGGGGGTGTTCCAACAAGTTTACATTAATTTATGTTCAAAATGTATAATGGTGAATGGATAAAACATTTGTTTCCTTTTCCTGTTCTGGTATTTCAAGATATAATTTGGTTGAGATGCACTAGAAATTAACAATTAAGGGGAGATAACTCCATAATTTGCTATCATTCTAACCAAAAGTTATCAAGAGATTTCTCGAATTACCAGACATGCAGAAACACAGGCCTACCATTTCTAACTCAGGATGAGCGTAACTTCAAAAATAAGATGGTTAGGTCGGTGGGTTTTTTACAGCCATGTTTTGAAATACTTCTAAATTGCCCGATTCTTACAAAGACTGGCACTTAATTGACATTTATGAATTAATGTTAAGTAAAAAAAAATTCTATAAGAAAGTAATGGTTAAAATGCAAAACAACAAAATTTTAAGCACAAAACTCCTCGACATTCATGAAAGATTCAATATGATTATTATTAAATATTGTTTGAATAATCCAACAAACACAGAATCTCTCCTTTTTTTTTTTCATTTCAGAATGATACTACATATAAACAATTTAAAAGTGTGCCAAATTAATTATATTAACAGAAGGATGTTATACAAATGTTGCTGAATCAGTTGTGATAAATATACATGTATATAAACAATCAATAAATCTACTCTAATGTTTGTCAACAATTGATTAGAATCAATAAAGCATCTTATAAACATTGACATTCAATCATCATCTGAGTCACTGTCAGCTTTATGTTTGACCTCACTGATTATTTATTATCTATGATTTATGAAGAAGTAGGTATATTGCAAAATACCAATACAAAACTGACTCAGCGATGATGAAATACAATTCCTATTAAATGATAACTAATTGATGTTAAGTTGTAAAATTATTTATTGATATTTTTTAATAAATTGTACATTTTACCTATAATATCTCATAAAAGGAAAGTTACGTAATGACTAACATCAAAATATATTGCATCAAAATAAATGAAGATGTGGGATTGTCATCAAAACACAGCAAACCATCAAGACAGTTATATTAAAACTATTTCATGTTAAGTTCACTAAGTCACTCTTGAGTTAATACTGTAAATATTTTAACATTGTATTCTGTTTGAAGATTATTTTGTTTCATGTATATATATATATATGGACCTTTTTGAGTTGAAATAAAGATTATCTAATCTTATCTTATCTTTATATCATTCCTCTTTAAATTACTGTAGTTTGTTTCAGGTAAAAATTAAAATAGTTGATAATAATGCAAACTGTTTGAGTTTCAATGTCATGTTAACTAAAACTTGAGGGCAACTTAATTTTCAAGACTATCATGTGAGACATGGATGTCCCAACAGCAACCTAACAAAATATATATAGTCATAGAAAACTGTGACAAATTAAAAATATCCAGAAAGCCAAACAAAACGTAGAAGATACCTGCATATTGTGCAGTAAATGTAATTGTTACCACAACTGAAACCCTTAATAAGAAACTAAACTAAGTCTTTCATAGATCACATAGTGACCATGAAACTTATTTGCTCTATCTAAATGGTTGTATAATCAACTAAGAAAAAAACTGAATTCAACAACTAAGACTGGAAAGGAAACATGGAGGGCTGCATGTGTCACATTTTTTGTACACCTTACTTAAAATGGTAATCACCAGAAAATAAGTCCCATAGGCTTTTCCCCTAACGACATGTTTGTGTATTTAAGAACATAGATTTGTACCTACCTATTACCAAATTCAAAATCATCACTATTGGTGAGCACATTAAGTGTGGTGGGAGCATTCTTGCTGTTGATTGGTTCATCTTGACCGGTGGGATTTTCAGGCGTGGTTCGTGATGTCATAATATCGGTAGAATACTCAGGCTGAACATTTCGTTCCAGTGTCATGGTTACTAACACTCAACAATAAAAGTCCTGCAATAGAAATAAATGGGATTATTAAATGATTGAACCCGCTTGGAAAGCAGGAGGTAATATACAAGCCAATGAAAACTACATGTCGCATAATTCATCCATCTATAATATGATCTATTCAAATAAAATATGAATAGTAATTTAAATGAATAGGATGATATGGTCTTATAGTCTCTTTAGTTCAGAAATATTATCAGTGATGTCCGACTATGCTGAAAAAGTAATCACAGAGTCAAGAATTAGAAGGCCTAAATCAAATATGTAAGAAAATGTTAAAACATAAATACTGATATATGATATGACAGCCTCATGTCTTGTGAACATGTTCATATGTTTATATGTCTTTATATGAAATAATCATATGTACAATTATATAAACTCAAAATGTAAAATTTATTTGTAAAACAACATACAAATATGTAGAAATGCAAACCTTGCAAAAAAAAATCTCTCATGATTCATGACACTTAGAACAAATAAAAAATAATATAGTCATCTGTTAACAATTCAAATTGGGTTAATATAAATGTAAATCTTCAAATATTTGACTGAAATATATGTAAATTTTGATCACTCATACGAACTTCCATTTGTCATAACCATATAAGCCTGTCTGCCTTTCTTTAGAGATATCACCAAATAAGGCTTAAATTCTCACCAGATTTTTAAGAGGGGTGTAAAGGCGGGGTATCTGCACGGAAGAACGCGAAATAAAATTGCAATTTCACGATGAACGAACAATTAAAAATTTCTTGCACATTGATCTTTTTACCGATTTCACGAAACACAGTGAATAACAAACCTTTTTCACAGCTGCACAAGAAATAAAAATGGCAAAACACGTTGCACGAAAATTACCCTTTACCACCCTCTTTTAACTACTGTGGATGGATTGAATTACCTTGGTACTAATTTTCATAGATTGAGGAAACTATGTATTTACGTGGATATTTGAATTTGTGGTTTTTTCCAAAGTCTGCATACACTAGCCTATAGAAAAATGTGTACTTTGTTGAACATTTTAATTCATGGTTCACCTGTACTTACAAAATCGACCAAAATTGGTATCCAACAAATAGTATTATGAATCCACAGTAGTCATATGCAATACATATAAGGAACAACTAGTGTAACAGGAAACGCTGTCACTCTTGATTTCATTCATTTTATTTTGTTTTTGTTGCTTTAAACTTTTTTTTTGTGTGTAGTTTTTGAGGATTTTTGTTTGCCTTTACATCTTGTGAACAACGCGAAAAAATTCTTAATATGGCTTGAAGTAAAATGCAGAAAAACTGATACTACACATTATTCTTTTGTGTGTGTGTGTGGGGGGGGGGGGGGGGGGGGGGGGGGGGGGGGGGTCTGAGGCGGAAGGTGATGAGGTGCACTTCATTCTTTTTTGGGAAGAACACTTTCTAATTTTCTATTTTGGACAATTTTCTCTATTCTGTAGGCCCTATCTAGATCCTCCTTAATATGGTATCATGTTCTTAATATTACAAGAAAGGATATTATGAAGACAATTAGGGATATTATATAACAGGTAATTTTTTTTCTTGACGTTATTGGCCATGGTGTCTTATTGAAATCTTCTAAGATCAGATATAAAGAAGATTCCCTATACATCATTTACATTGATGAGACACCAATAATGTAAAGAAAAGAAAAATCACCTGTTATATGATATCGTTAATTGTCTTTATAATTTCCTTTCTTATAATATTTTAGAACATAATATCATATTAAGGGGGGGGGTAAAGAGGGTGCTTACATAATAGAGAAAAAGATAAAAATAGTGAATAATGTGCCCCCCCAAAAAAGAACAAAGAATGAAGAAAAGTTTGCAAACAAATAAATGGCTTAAAAATCAAAGAACACAGAAACAAAGACCCCCTCCGAACCAAATGCAGCTTTTTTTTTTTTTTTAATCTTTCCTGCTGCATGACACAAATAAAAACCTTCCATTAGCATAATAAGACTCCAATAACGCAAAGAAAAGAAAAACACGTGTCATATGATATCGCTAATTGTCTTTATATTTTCCTTTCTTATGATATTTTAGAACATGATACCCTATTTAGCCTTTTTCATAATCATTTTTATTGATTTTCATTACTTTTCCTGCAATTTATCAACCGAAACAAACCATTAACTCAACATCAGCAAGCTTAGCAAACAAATACCCAACCTACATCTTGATTTTATACTTTATATTTTAAACTTGCATAATATTTATACATTTTATATAAATAGAATAATAATAAACTGTCTGTGAGGTGAAATGCATGTCTAGTATGCCTTGTGAACATCTATATTTGTATTAGATACACATTGAGGGCGTTATAAGCCCGAATGGGTATATTGTCAATGCAGAATGATAGTTTTCAATAATTTAGGAGGGGTGTCTTTCAGTGATTTGACCATATGTTATTGAAAAGCATGATAAATGCAGGATATCCATCTTGGTGTAAATATTTTTTTATATATATATAGAATAATCCTGACTGTTAATGAAACACACATCTGGCATACCAAATTATAAGAACGCAGATTAATCTTTCAGAATACCAGTTTTTTGGAATGACCTCCAACCCTTGCAAATGAACACTACCATCGCGCATTCAAAAAAGAGAAAACAATCTGCCCGTAGTACACGGATTAATTGAAATTAGGGTCAAAACTCTGATTTGGCATTAAAATTAGAAAGATCAGATCATATCATAGGGAACATGTGTACTAAGTTTCATGTTGATTGAACTTCAACGTTATCAAAGAATACCTTGACCAAAAACTTGAACCTGAAGGGGGACGAATGGACGAACGAATGAATGGACGCACAGACCGAAAAACATAATGCCACTCTACTATCGTGGGCATAAAAAGGAGTTACATGATATTGTTAATTGAGTTTATTATATCTTTTCTTATATAATATTATAGAAAATGAGACCATATTAAGCCATTATTATAATAATCTTATAGATTTTCATTATTTTTCCTGCAATTTCTCAACCGAAATCAAACATTATTTCAACATCAGCAACTTTAGCAACAAAAATCCAACTTACATCTTGAATTATATACTCTATATTTTCTACTTGCATAACATTTATATATACATTTTTATGTAATAGAATAATCATAAACTGTCTGCAGATGAATGCATGTCTGGAATGTCTTGTGAAAATCTATATTTATATTTTTTTATATATATAATAATCATATTTAATTTAGTACTGTCATGACTGTCTGTATAAGAAACATGCATCTAGCATAACTAAATTATAAGCCTGGAATCTTCAGAATGTAAAATTTATAAGAAGAATGACTTCTAGAACCCTTGCAACAATTTTATTTTTAAACATAATCCTGCTTCATGTCAAGTTACACATATACATTTGTAAAAACCTTCCAAGCTTAATAAAACTCCTATTACGTAAAGTCAAGAAAACCGCGTGTTATATAATATTCTTAATTGTCTGTATAATATCCCTTCTTATAATATTTTCGAATATGATACCATATTAAGCCATTCTTATAATAATCTTATTGATTTTCTTTATATTTCCCGTACTTTATCACCTGTAACAAAACATGGCGTCAATATCAGAAACCTTAACAAACAAAACCCATTTTACTGCAGCCCAACCTACATCTCGTACTGATTAACCTGGATTTGTTGAACAATCCAACAGTGAAGGGAAAGTAGACAAATGTCATCAATTATTCATGATCAATTTTCTACAGGTAATATGTGAATAAATGACTTCAAATGGAGATGCAACCATGTACAACATGCAATGTACAAATATTAATAGTAAAGGTCTTAATGACTCCTAACACTGTGTTAGAAAGTGCTCTGAATCATGTTTCGTTTGTTGCTTTTAAGCTATATGTATGACTTCTAAATGCAGGTGTCATCAGAGTTATTCTTCAGATACGGTACATTATATTATTGACACTAAGACACTTGCTAAATGTACTTTAGTGAGAATGATAGTCCAAACTAATGCTATGGAAATATATAGGATAAGGAAAAAAGTAAGATTGCCAATGAGACAACTATTCCAAATGGGTATTTTTTACTCCTAACTCAGTGTGTTAAAAGTGCTCTGAATCACGATCCACATGTTGCTTTTTAAGCTTTATGTGTGACTTCTTAATGCAGGTGTATTCAGAGTTATTCGAGTATTCAGATACGGTACATAGTTTTAATGACAAATAAGACACTCAATGCTAAACATGCTAAATGTACTTTATTGAGAGTGATAGTCCAAACTAATGCTATGGAAATATATAAGATTATAAAGGAGTTGTGGTATAATCATGATTAAATGCCAATGAGACAACTATTCATTAGAGACCAAATGACCTTGATACATGTTGGCAACTATAGGTAACACTATGACCTTCAAAAATGAGCAATGTAGAAAATTTGCTATTTTGAGGGTACCTAATTTTTAGTTTCATTTGCTTTTCCCCTTTTTAAGTAACTAAAAATCTGTATTTAGTTGAGTTTATTAAATTTGATGTTAGTTATAGACTTAGTTAAGAAGAACTAAATTAAACTAGAGGCTCTAAAGAGCCTGTGTCGCTCACCTTGGTCTATGTGCATATTAAACAATGGACACAGATGGATTCATGACAAAATTGTGTTTTGGTGATGGTGATGTGTTTGTAGATCTTACTTTACTGAACATTCTTGCTCCTTACTATTATCTCTATCTATAATGAACTTGGCCCAGTAGTTACAGTGGAAAATATTTTGTAAAAACTTACAAAAATTTACAAAATTTATGAAAATTGTAAAAAATTGACTATAAAGGGCAATAACTCCTTAAGGGGTCAATTGACAGTTTTGGTCATGTTGACTTATTTGTAGATCTAACTTTGCTGTACATTATTGCTGTTTACAGTTTATCTCTATCTATAATAATATTCAAGATAATAACCAAAAGCTGCAAAATTTTCTTAAAATTACCAATTCAGGGGCAGCAACC